TTTATATTGAAAACTATATGAATAAAACTTTAAGGCATTACAGCCAATGAAAATAACGTTTACTCGTTTGCTTCTATCAATTAAAAGCGTTACACTTTTTTTTTGACAATAATAAAATTATGACAACCCTAAGTCTCACCAGATTAATTAACATTATGCCACGGATTATTTCGGTGCGGCTAAATATTACATTAGCCGTAAAAACACCGCTAATTGAACCATCACTGGATCGATCGCGTCGTTTCACATCTGGGATGTTAATTTTAAACTTATTCACGGAAATCTGTCATTATTGTATTTCCTATTTATATAATGTCGATTGACGTCCTCCGTAACCTAGTGCTTGGCACGCCTGTTTAAGGTGCAAGCCGGTTTCAAGGCCATCTCTGAGGTTCCAAGTTCGATTCCTTGTCGGGGCCAATGTAGCAAAAGGATATTTGAATATTATAGTATAAATCTTGGGTCTGGGTGTTGTGGTACCTTTGTTGTCCCAGATACTCCATAATTACAAAACTTGAAAAGTCCAGCACGCGTAGCATGACAAACTCGAGAAACGCTTTGTCTACACTCATTTGTCAGTATCTCGGATCGAGAGTGAGATATAGTATGGGCGCACCCGAGAAAAGTGACATTTGAGTGTAGACAAAACGTTCTCGAGTTCGTCATGCTACGCGTGCAGAACTTGTGAAAAGCTGAATCGCATTGCTTGTTGAAAATTAAAGAAAAAGCCGGAGAACTCTTAAAATAACCTTACAATATAGAGGAAAAATACTTATGTTTATCAAATGTTGACTATAACCATATTATTATAAAACGAAGAACTTTAATACCAAATTTAAACATTTATCCATCCAAGTTAACACATCTCGATTTGAGGTTTTCCCTTCTGTCATTGTCAATTAACTTTAGGCAGGCAATAGTATAAAACATGTGCTAGCTTTAGTCCTCGTATTATAATAAGACGGTAAGAGTACTGCAGGCCAATACTGCTAATGTTAACGTATTATCGCACCTCAATAGAATCTCAACAGCGTGCATTTAGAGATAGGCCGTGAATGATATGCGTGTCTACTGCGTCTTTTTTAATAAGGAAGTATTTAAAAAAAAACATAATCTCTGAAAAAGCACCTCCACTAGATGGCGACCCTAGCAAAAGTTGATTTTTGCAGGAAACAAATGGACCAAAGACAGTAATTTCCGTTCCTTTTAACTAACTAAAAACCTGAAATTTGAAAAGTTACACTAAGATATCAATACAAATACGAAAAAGTACAAATAGAGTTGTTGATTGAGTTTTGAAAACTAATACATGAAAAAAAACATAACTTTAAAACATGAAAGAAAACCGGAAGGGTTGTCATGGAGAAATCAAAAACGTACCGTAGCGACATCTAGTTTTTTTTTAAATACTTTCTCATTGTTCGTACGGTGTAACTAGCTGAAGTTCATATTTATTATTAAAATAGCATTCACAATGCTATATTGATGATTTTTCTTAAAGAAAAATACTTTTAAAAAGTTCAACCGTCCCAGGCCCCCGATAAGGGTTTCAAACTCATAATCTTCCGCAATCACGTTTCGATACAAAGATCAGCTGTCTGTATCGCGAAAGATAATGGCTTCGAATCCCATCTCATACACTTGCGATTAGTGAAGTTTATAAACATATATAATATGAAGTTCATACATATAGCGAAATCTATTTCAGGTACACAATATTACGTGAAACCTTTAATATCAATTACTAATGAGCTTTGAATTATATCAAAGGTAATGCACTAGACAGGTCATTACGTTAGCCAATATAAATTATCTGAACATTATTCTGCGTCAATCTCAATTAGCTTACGAATTCGAAGAATCTCCAATTGAAATGTTTTCATTGATGCTTCAAATGTGCGAGTTACGTTACATAAGCAGTGTACTTATAACTCATGGCTAGCAACAGTGTAAATCAATTACATAACATTAGAATTCTCGATACGATCAAGATTCAAAAATTAAACTCAGTAGATAATAATGAGATCGTGACATACCTATTTGACTCAATACTCAATCAGCAGTTCGACGCCCACAGCTGGGCATAAGCATCCCCGATGGAACTCCACAACGATAGGTCCTGCACAGCCCGTATCCACCGCATTCTCTTAATCTTTATTAGAACGTCGGTCCATCTGGGTATTCCAGAAGTGTTCTGACCCAACGGCCATCAGTTCTTCTCGCTGTGCTTCCCGAACACTACCACTTCAACTGAGCAAGCCTTCGGGAAAAGTCTGTTTCGTTAATTCTCCTACGCATATTCTCGTTTCTTATTTGATGGCGTAGGAAAACAACAAGCATTGACCTCGCTATTATCCACTGGGTGACCTTGAGCTTCCTCAAGAGACCCATGTTAAACGACCACGATTCACTTCCGTAGGTCATCACTGGTACCACATACTGGTCGAATAATTCGTCTTCAGACACTGAGGAAAATGGGACAGGAAATTTCCTAACGCTGCCCATTCAAGTTGGATTACACGAGAGATCTCTTTCTCGAAGTTGAACTTGCCGAGCTGGACTATCCTAGGTCGACAACTTCAAGTTTAACTGGAGTAAACATGGTAAACATGGTTTTTCCGTGTCCATCTTAAAATCTTTTTAATCTTAAGTGGTTAGCGCGCTCGGTTTACTGTTAAATAACTTTCGAAAAGGGCCGGTCATTTGATGAGTGACTGATTTACTATCTCGAGGGTCTGCGTGCTTCGGAAGGCACGTTAAGCCGTATGTCCCATCTGTATCTGAAGTTATTACTTTTACTATTACCCAGGAAAACTCACTGGGCCCGTGTGATGGGTTATGGGCCATTCTCTATATTCTATGCGATTTGATTCCATCCTTAGGAAAAGCCTGTGCCCCAACTGGTTGTGGTGATGAATGATACAAAGCCCTATGTATGCGGCAATATTAATTTTAAATCTCAGATTATATCATACTCTCGTCTTAATAAAAATTTAAAAAATAATAGAACCGACTTCATACTTTTAAAAAGTGATAAATAATACTTATCTAAAAACGACTTACTCAAGAAAGTGTGCTATTGAGTTCAGGCGGAAGTTTTCTGTAGGCTTATTAATTAAATTATAGGTTTCAATAATATTTTCTTAATTAAACCGCTCTTGAGATAAGTTTTAGTTATCGGTTTTTTAAAGTTAGTTAGTAGAATTTCTAATTTATTTGATAATTGTGTTGCAAATTATTTTGTCTTCTAAATAAAAATATGTACACCCGTCATATGTTGCTAAAGTAATTCTCGGAACACTAATAGCTGTGTGTCGCTAAATATTCAAAGAAGCGGTTCTTTAGATACCGCAGACTTAACACGTGGCAAATATGGGACAATTGCCAATAAACAATGCGTTCTCTGCGATGACTTCAATCCCATTGATCAAATCAGCATGAATGATGAATGGCGTAGTGACATAATGCTCTGGTTGTAATCACACTTACGCTTTTTATTGATTTTGACAATTCGTTTATAATTAAATAAACAGTTGAAAGCTTAGATATTGAAACTCGATAAAATATAGTCTTCTGTTTCTAATAGGTAGCATTTCTGCATGCTTAAGGCCGGGTATAAACATCTAGAAAAACTCCACTCCAAATAACCTACCGTCACTGTTGTAAATATGATACACACCGTGTTCGACAGCCAAATGTACATAACATGTACATCAGTGTACAAAATTGTCTTTGTAAGCCCTATTACATTTGAGGAAGAAAAATTAAAAATTGATTGCGGAAATATTACATTGAAATAACCTGTTTGCTACCGTGTGTACACTCATTTAATTACCCTTTTTTGTATAATGACCAGTTGATTGGACAAGCCTGTCCTGTTTGATTTTAATTTGTCTGATTCACCCTGAGTTTCATGCAAATTCATACGTTTTATCTTCGCGCAGTGATGGACAATTTAATGGATGGACTATTTCCATTGCTGTTTTTCTTTGAATATTCAGAAAAAACGAATTACTTAAACAAAATAGCTATGAAATTATAGATTTTATAATACAAAAAAATCATAAACAAAATCTTGTAGTAATAAACAACAACGAACTGTTAAATCTCGACACTTTCATTTGAAAAATGTGGAGCGTCATGTTAGAATAATGTAGTCAAAAGTCTATCCACTCGCACTCGCACACATCAGTCACTTTGATCAAACAGATATTTGACATTTCAAGGATTAACTGGATTTGAGATCTCGGCGAAAAAATGTCTGTGTCCTCATTATTTATTACCCTTTCTTAACACTAAACTACTCTGTAGCCTGCTAATTGTGCCAAGGGGATTGATTCATCAGCATTAATGTTTACAACTACTTTAGAAACGCTGACTTTATTATACGGGAAGTTATCAACGCAAATAGAAGCCGTTAGCAATTTTATAGCTTCATGGTCATGAATGCATTTATTTTGTCGTCCAAAGAAATTGGAGTACAAACAAATATTATTGTACTTCAATTGTACAAATAAAATATAATTATTGTACTTTTAAAATTAAGTAATTGTACTTTAAGTACAATTGAAGTACGATAATAAAGAAACAACCGTTATTTATTTGGAACGTGAAACTTAAAAACATAAGCGGTTCAAAAAAATCCTACAATTGACTACAGGAGACCACCTTTTTTGATTTTTCTTTTTAAAATATATTTTAAATTTTGGTCACGAAATCTATAAAATTGTTTTACCATTTGTATTTCTCATTAAAACATTTATTTATAAATTCATGATCAATTAACAGAACTAACTATATAATATAGATTAAATAATAAACAATATATGATATTCATAAACTATTTCATCGCTTTACTCTGACTTAGGTAAATGTCATTTAAACCATAGAGCAGAACAGACTCTATGAAATTAAGAGTACGTTGTTTGACCTTCAATAACATGTTCACTGTGTATAATACAAACTTCACCCCTATAATTCTTGTTTATGAATTGTTTCAGGATCGCGACAGCAATTTGTCGGTACCAGCGCGCTGGGAAGATAGAAATTTAAGGAACCACCTGAACAAACCCGGTGTAGGTCAGTATATTATAATTCATTTGAAACTAGTAGTATTATACTACTCATATTATTAATATCAGCGTTGTTGTGGCACTTTCCGTGTCGCGTCAACACCAGCTGAGGCAGAGTCCTGGTTGATCTCACTTTCTTTCTTTTTATATGTCTTTATGTACCTTATTATTTCTTGTGTGTCTTTATCTTGATTTATATGTTCCTAATTATGTACTATCTTGTTTGTGTCTTTGTGAGATTAATAAATGTTTCTTCTTCTACTTCTTTTAGAAGTTATACTTTATGGTTTTGATACCCTTTTGAATATCTTAAGTATTACATAAACCGATTAAGATAACAGATAAGAACTAGATTAGGAAGTGATACAGAAGAAACTAATTTGTCCTCTGGAGTATGTTGATGATTTTTTCTACTTATAATTAAATTAGATATATATAATTAAAATAGAGATATGGATGACTATTATAAGCTGATACTTTAATACTTCCGAGGGGCGCTAAACTATGTTTCCAAAAATGCACTAAGCTGCCTATAGTTACGAACAACAACAAAAAAATAAAAATACTTTAAATGACCTACTAATGGTAGGAAACAGTTTTATCTGAAATAGCAACTAAAATGCAAAGTGCTGATTTATTAGAAAGATTCTGTTTTCTTATTTATTTTGCAATCCAAAGAATTTACAATGTTATTGGTTACATTGTACTCTAAAAGGTTTGTGCATAAATCAAGCCTGTAAAACATTATTTTGAAATATTCCCTCGAATAGGAACTCTCGATAGTTTAACTTGCTATTACCAATCGAGTGTTTCTATTTCCTTATCACTGTACAGTCACATAAAAACTTCTACGATTACAGAAAAGGCGACTCGGTGGATAGGCGGCATCTTTGACTACAATGCCAAAGCATGGAAGTGGGGCGGTGAGCTTCGCAGTATGCACTACCAATCCTTCTCCAAGATGAGAAAACTCTCGCCTGAAGAGTTGCAGTGGCACTGCATCGCCATGATGCCGGAACTAAAATATAGGTAAGTGCGAGTTAATATGTGGGAGATATTTAGCAATCCGGGAATAAAATCCCAGAAGACAAAAAACTTTATTCCTTACTAACTTAAAGTAACTAGTTAAAATTAATTTAGGATAATTAAAGTATTTTATTGCTCCGTGTAAATTACATCCAATGAAAAAATATTGCTGGGTACTTCTCAAAATTTTCATCAAAATTTAACGACCTCCATAGTAGTGTGGTTCACCCTCTGGTTTTAAGGTGTCGCCATCTGTGAGGTCCCGATCGGATCAATGTAGAAAATGAAGTTCTCGTGAATGTGGTACTTTTGTTACTCAATGATATAAGGGCTTTTATCTGAGCAATGTTTATAATGTTGTCAAATATTTCAAAAATTATAAAAACAACACTTGAGCCATTACCAATTCAAAACATTTTCACTGTGAATGTAAAAAGAGATTAACTTAAAAGATAAAAAAAAACGTACTTGTTGTCTGCGTTATACTATTTTATAATGGCCTAGATATTGATTACTACAATCTAGGATATTTATCTAAGCAAAAAAAATAATTTCGATAATCAAATAACAATAATCACTATAAGATACATTTTAAGAAAAAAAAATTGTAAATGATCAAGACATATAATTAATTCTAGTTATTTTTTTTTCTTAAAAAAACACGTGTCTACTAAACATTAATGTTCAAAGAGATTATTTCATTTGTTGTAATTGAGACCTTAGAACCGTCGAAGATTATCAAATAATTATTTTTTGTTCAGACCGTACACAAAAATCTTACAGTATTTAAGTGATTTGAAATTGGGATGAGCTAAGAATAATGATGGGATGAGTAAGGAATTCAAAATTAAAATAAATTGTTGTGGGTTGAGTGAAGAACAAAAATAGGATGAGAAGGGAAAAAATAATGCATAGATGCATAGATAGATGAGACGCCATAGGATGAATACGAAACAACCCATTCTTAAGATCTGTCAAGTACACTGGACCGCAAAGAAAACGGGTCGGTTAGAAAATCTTCAATAACTTGAAAACTACTTCACCTAGCTTTATGAAATAAAAACTCAATTAAAGAATATTTCATGTTATTTAACATAGTATATAAAACCTTTTTATTTACTTTAGATAATTGTGTAAGAAAACTGGCAATGAAGATAATGGTTGTTTTTCAATTAAGTTCTAAAAAAAATCAAAGCATTTGTTTCGCATTTGTTTTAGTTTTGACGTAAAAACTACAATAAATATCGTGTGTTTGTCATACAAAAATTGTATTCTGAAGTCATCATCTCGTTAACCCCTGAAGAATGCACCAGGATCCTGACAATGCTTGAAGATGGGCGCAGTCAGCGCAATACAGCGAGAACTGTTGGTGTGAGTCTTTCCACAGTTCAGCGGGTACTCCAGCGTTTCCATGAAACTGGATCCAACCTAAGAAGACCAGGAACAGGCCGAACGAGGTGCACGACTGCGCGGGAGGATCGCTATATGGTGTCAACAATTTTGAGAAATCGATTTCTTACGGCCGTTGAGGTAAAAAATCACCATTTACGAGCTGGAGGAAACTATCTGAGTACAGATACAGTAAGGCGACGTCTGGCTGAAGCAAATTTGAGACCATTAAGGCCTGCAAATGGCCCAAAATTAGAAAGACACCACTTAAACTCAAGGCTGAGTTATAGCAGAGAACACGAAACTTGGACTCTGGATGACTGGTCAAGAGTTATGTTTTCAGACGAGTCTAGATTCTGTTTATACAAGCACGATGGGAGGAAAAGAGTGTACCGAAGACCGGGAGAGCGCTATAACCAAGATTGTATAGAAGAAAAAGTACCATATGGCGGTGGCTCTATACACGTGTGGGCTGGGATTTCTTCCGAAAGCCGTACTGAGCAAGTAGTGATAGAAAATGGCAGTTTAACAGCAGAACGATATGTGAATGAAATTCTTAATGACTATGTTGGTCCATTTTTAGTAGATATGGGCGAAAATGCTGTTTTTATGCAAGACAACGCCCGCCCGCATACAGCTCAGATAGTGTTCGACTATTTTCACGAAGTAGGTACCACATGCATGGAGTGGCCAGCACGAAGCCCCGACTTAAACCCCATCGAACATGCATGGGACGAACTGGGACGACGTGTACGTCAACGGAATCCGCCGCCAATCACGCTGCGTGAATTGAAAGGAGCTTTGATCGAGGAATGGCAGAACATTTCGCAGCATCGCCTTAAAAACCTTATGGAAGGTATGCCGAATCGCATAGCCGCAGTTTTGCAAGCTCATGGAGGCAACACGAAATACTAACATGCGTAAAAACGTCACATCTTTATACAATTCATATTTACGAAAATGTCAGAAAAACTACCTTTTTCATTCGTTTGACATTTATTGAAAATAGACAACTTTTAATTTGTATTTTTTTATATTCAATAAATTACAATTAAATAATCTTTAATTTAGTTTTTATTTCATAAAAATAAGTTAAGTAGTTTTCAAGATATTGACGATTTTCTAACCGACCCGTTTTCTTTGCGGTCCAGTGTATATATCAATGTGATCAAAGATCTACGTCTCGCAGATAATGAAACTATGGTCAGTTTTATTGTTTTATATCGTTAAATATAAAAAAAATTGTAAATGAGATCAAACATTTCAATAAATTATCGTTCTTAAAAAACATATCAATTTGTGTGAATGCAAAATTTATTAACATAATAATGTTTATTATTTTACTACAATTAAGCACTACACTTTAAATATTTTAAACTACCGTAACGCAATTAACGTTTATTTCAAAAGGTCATTGATTCGTGTAATGAATATCACAGACGTTCAAACAATTTAATTTGTTTAAATAGTTAAACAAACTTAAAAATTTCTTAAAAAATAAACGCAACAGGAAACACGTGTCTGTGTAGATATATTACAAATGAAAGTCGAATAACACGACGTACAGCAAACAATTAGCCCTTTCTCTTTGTCAACAATTAAGTTGTTGAACTTTTGAAGCAATATGTTGATTTTAATCAGCAAATATGTATCTTCAAAGACCCTTTGTCAATTACACCTACTACGCATTTAGTGCGTATAATTTGCAAGATTCTAAATATTATAAAAATAGAATAAACTAAACCTATTCTTAAATTATTTCACTAAAACCTTTTTACATGAAACGACAATAAAATTTTAATAGTTCCGTGACAAATTGTGGATTGAATGGATAATTTCGAAGAATTGAGGATTCCAAATGACACGCGATTCTGTGTGGACCCCAAAGTGTAGCGGGTCGCTATAAAACTTGATACTGTTACCACAACATTTGATACGTTCCAAGTTGAAAACTTTTTCCTGAAGATACATTATTTATACTCAAAACAAAGTCGCTTAGCGCTGTCTGTACACTGTGATATTTTTGACGTTTATCATGAGATTATGACGTGGTGCTCGATGGCGGATTTTGATAACGTTGTATGCATTGAGGAGCTTAATGGGTGGAGGTGGAATAAGGATGACCAAAAATTTACTATGTATCTTGAACTCTTCCTTGATTCGGGAGGTACTTTGAGCCGTTTCGGTCCGAACTGCATCTGCGCTCGTTAACATCCACCAATTTAGATCAGGCCCGCGTGCTAGGTTGTGGCCATTCCCTTTGTTTGATTCCATTCATAAGGAAATAACCTGTGCCCCATCAGTGGACAAAATAATGAGGTTTCATAATATCCCACAGATTATTTTATATTGTACTGAAAATATTTCTATCAATTCGGGTGACGTCTTTATTAATTTTCATTATTAGAAAGCATAATATTCACACATTGCTGATAAAAAAAAATAATACGCTGTTACAAAATTCTATGCCCGCTTTATCTTTTAACTTAAACCAAATACCAGTGTTGGGGCGGTTATTACTAAACAGTGATCAATACCACGAAAACCAATATAAAACTTTACGACACTCGATTTCTATTGTGTCGCAGACTCGAACAATTGAATCCATTCTGAGCCCTCCACAAATGAAATGTGTGATCAAATACACATGTGTCCGATTTCATCCTCTGACACAATAGTAGAGAGTATTGTTTAATTAGTTAATGTCGTTAAAATAAAACAAATTATCGTTAGCAGCGCCTGAATCGAAAATCTTTAACTTTCAATATATTTTAAACAAACAAATAGCTGTCACCGAGTGATTCGAGTGCCGGTTTCAAGGTATCGCCGTCACTGAGGTCCCGGGTTCCTGGTTGTAGAAAATTTGCTTTTCCATATTATCTGGGATCGGGTGTGGGCTCAAACGTGAAATGTTTGTAAAAATATACCACCCAAACAAAGAGAAGTAGATACTTCGTCATTAAACATTCAATAGTATTTTTTTTTATTGAATTGAAGTATCCTAGTATATTTAGTCTGTGATAATGTATTTATAAATTAAAAAAGATACCTTATGTCATTTTACAGTTTAGGTCATTGACTCGTGTAATGAATATCATAAACGTGCAAATATGTTAATTTGTTTAAATAGTTAAACAAACATTCAAACGTTTAACATAACTTCCTTTAAGAGCATTCGCTGAGTATTTATTTTTGGAGGAATATCTTAGAACAATTAATTTATTTTAGAAGCTATGTAATGATTATGTTTGACCGCATACACAATGTTATATTTATCTTAAAGAAAAAATACATATATAATTTAACCTTCACGGCCGAATGATTCGCAAGTCAGTTTCATTCCCGGTAGGGTCAATGTAGAAAATGAACTTCTCTGTGCCTTGGCCATTTAGTTCTAGTGATGCATTCGTTATTTTGTGATTTCCACAATAAAAGTGCGAAACTACTTAATTTGGAATCTCAGCAAACTATGTGGTCACTTTGCTAATTAAAGAAACACGTCTCAACGTTTTCCAGATGGTCTCCAGCCAGCTGCTACGAACCTCATCAGTACATCTGCCAAACGAAGCTTCGCAAAGTGCCAAAGTCCAAAGTGAAGGATCTCCGACGGCGCTGGCAGCGCATGGGCATTCCAAACGAGATCACCGCACCGAGCGTGAGCCGCGAGATCAACGATTCGAAGCTGAACGACGTCACGCTCAACCCGCTGAAGAACCCGAAGTCGTACGACCTGCGGCCGAGCCCGATGCAGCTGCACCCGAACACACGACCCAGGCCGCGCCGGCTGCGGCCCAACGAGCTGAGGAAGAGATCCCGACCGACACAACGGAAACTCACAAAACCGTTCCCCGGGTGAGTATCACTGATAAATCATCAACTTTCGATGAGTTTTGTAGAAAGAAATGTTATCACATCACACTTCTGTTGTTGTTGTTATTATTCTGTCACAGTCAAACGCGAATTTCCTCTAAAGGAAAAATCACAAAGCTATCTCTAAAATTTATCAAAAAATTTCTATACTCTTCTTTTAAAGAGGAATATATAATATATAATATAATTTGTGAGTCACTTGGTAGCCGATAGTTAAACGGACACTTAAACTTTAATGGTTTTACTTTACTTTGCAAATAATTAATTAAAAACTGTTTTTGACGCGCAATAATCTTATTGTCTCGTTTCAACTTTCTTCTTTACGACCGCCTTAAATCAAAATTTGTTGGCTGATTCGCAACGCACGCAATCATCAGATAAGTCACCAAAAATATATTACTTTGAGCTCCACTCTATTGCATGTGCATTCATTAGTGGGTACTAATTCTGGATTCATATGACGGACACGACTCCAGTTGGGTCTGATTACATTAAAAATCATATTTCGTTATACCAAGCAATTAATAAATTCGTTTAAATAAATAAAGTCCTTCATTAATCACATACTGATAAGTGCTGATGAGTAACTCGTTGGCGTAGTGGATAAGCGCCACGGCCCACGATCGTAGTCGTTAAGCAACTTTCGCAAGGGTCGGTCACGGGATGGGTGACCAAAAAATTATTATCTCGAGCTACTCCGTGCTTCGGAAGGCACGTTGAGCCGTTGTTCCCGGCTGCATTTGCAGTCGTTAGTACCCTCCAATCCGCATTGGGCCAGCGTGGAGGGTCATGGCCCATCCTCCTTAACCATCCATAAGGAAGGCCTGAGCCCCTGCAGTGGGGACGTAAAAGGGCTGGTGATGCGATAAGTACTTTGACAAATAAGTTGGAAAATATGTTACTTATATAGAGAACATTATTTTTAATATCATGTTTTCCAACATCAAAACTTTTCCCATTATCGTTAGCTCAGCGACCACGGTCCAATTCTTGGTACAAATCTACTTACTAACAAAACACATTAACAAACTTTTATTACCTTATAACAGCACAATAATTGTCCATAAATTTTAGACCAATTCCAACGAATTGAAATTTATCCACACGTTAAAGTTAATCACACACTAAGAGCAACACTAGTAAATATTCTGTGATAGTTTTAGTAGCTCTAAGGAAATTTCTTTGAATTATGTTCTAATTTTGAGAACTTCCATCTGTTACATTCTACGCTCCGTAGGTGCTCCCAAGCAATTACAAGAATAAAACAAACGAGACGTAATGACAGAACGTTTATGAACATGAAAAATATTTTATTGAGATCAAATTACCGGAAAGTGTTTATGATAATCAATACATAAGAAAATAATATCAATAATTATCAAGTTTCTTTATTAACCTTTATTATTCTTCTTTATATAGACACATCAAAGAGGACCGTCACTGTACTTGTAAACATCTGACAAATATCGAAAATCGAAATTAGTGCCGTGTTAGCGGAGAATTATTATGCTAACTTTACGAGATCAGTTGACTGTATTAAATAAATAAATAAATATTTAACAACATCACATAGATTGCTCAGATTCCAAGATGAGTAGCTAAAGCCCCCGTATTATGGAGTATCTGAGACAACGAAGGTACCACAACACCCAAACCCGAGTCAATATAGAAAAGTTCATTATCTACATTGACCCGACCGGGGATCGAACCCGGGACCTCAAAGATAGCGACACCTTGAAACCGGCGTGCGAACCACTCGGCTACGGAGTATTCTCCCGGGTGGTTTCCGTGAACACTTGACATTACATTTATCCCCAGGCAATCGTTTATAGCGATAAAAATTTGTTCTAATGTGAGTCAATATAAGTAAAGCAATAAGGAAATATTTAAGAAAAAGAAAGCACTAAAAGAACACCTCACTAGATGGCGACTCTAGCAAAAGTTGATTTTCGCGGGAAACTAATGGACCAAAGACAGTCATTTCCGTTCCGTTTTAGTAACATATTAAAAACTGAAATTTACAAAGTTAGAAACTTAGATATCAATACAAATACGAAAAAGTACAAATATAATATGAGTTGTTTATTGAGTTTTGAAAATTCATTTACTTTTATACATGAAAGAAAATCGAAAGAGTTGTCGTGGAGAAATCAAGAAAGTACCGTAGCGACATCTAGTTGGATTTCGGAAACTAATGTTTTTTTTTTTAAATACTTCCTCATTATCTGTGTACCAAATATGATATAAATCTGTTTAGTAGTTTTTGCTTGAAAGAATAACAAACATACGTCTATCCTTACAAACTTTGATAAATAGTTTTCAGAAAACATTACAATAACCTATTCCATTGTTATTAATTTTTATTATTGTTTTAGATATCAATGGAACCGCCGTGACCCCGAAGCGTCCTACAATTACAACGCAAATCTCCTCAAGTCTGGCAAAACTGGCCTCACACCGCAGCAAGTGAAGAGTAACCTGGCAAGACTGCAGCATCTCCGCGACAGGCAGCTGGAAAGAAAAAAGAACCTGCGAGACAGAGGAGAATGGCTGGTCAACGACGAACCGCCGAGGCTGGCGAAGACGCATGCAAGGACTTACACCGTAGACAACAACATCAGCGCTCTCCATCCAAAGACCATCGTGGAAGAGTTCGACATGCTCCTTCCCCCTCCCCCACCAGTTCCTATGACGAGGTTAACACGTGGCACCTACTTTGGTTACCATTGAAACTTTTTCATATAAACTCCTTGGATTTTCCGTATCTCTATTGTTTTATTTTTAGTTCTTCGATCACCCAATCCTCAACCGAAGCTTTTATAGTTTTGCACTGAGGAACGACTATTCATGCTCGGCTGTTGTAAAGATCTGAACGAATCAGCGCGAGTCATTGTTCTTCTTCTCTTTCCCTCTTAGAGTAGCGAGAACCTAACGATTATATTTTGTTCAGCGACCGCTTCAGTTACCAACATTAAATTTTATTTGACTCCTTGTTATTTTTTTTCACGTATCATTAGGTTATATTTTCTTCGATGTAAGAATATTTCCATGTATTTGTTATTGTCTTGTTGTGATACAGTTCCAACTATCTATCGAGAGTGTGTGTGTATCTAAAGATTTTTCATCGTATAAGTAGGTAGTTTTGCACAGTATATCGACTTTACCTCGAATAGGATTGACATAATGACTCTTATTAAAAACAATAATAAAATAGTTACTGAACATCTTGTGACCGTTTTTCAGATTTAGTTAAGTGTATCATTAGTTTTATATCGCAGTTAAATAGATGATTTATACAGTTACAATTTAATGTAGCATATTTATAAAAACTAGTCAGTAAGTGTATTTCAAAATAGTATTATAAGGATACTTTATAATTTGTAAGGTCACGTGTTCGAAATTTTATGTCTATTCTTATTGTACATCTGCACGGTTAACTTAAATTTATAAATTACATTTTTAACATTAAAGTTTAGAACCAAAAAAATACTAAAATTCAAAGTCTCTTCGTGTCGTACGTTTTAATTGGCATTTCATATTTAAATATTAATTAGAAATAAGTTTACGTTCCAGTGTCAATATGTTTAGTTTAATAAGTACATCCTAATATACTGCCAACAAATATTTAGTCCTCGCATTTAAACGACGATTTCATTTAGCATTAAGTCACCAGAGAAATTTATTCGCATCATTTTTGTAATAATTAGTTTCAACAAAACCGTATTAATATCGCTAGTTTTGACATTAATTTAATGGCTGTTCTAATATTAAAATTAAGTACTAAATACTTAAATTCTATGTAAGTGTAATAAAAATTTAACATTTGCTTAATTATCATAGCTTATTAAAAATGTATTTTGATTATTTATCTGCAACGCTTTTTATTATTATAATACATTAAAATAAAGATGAATATAAGATTTCAAAATTTAAAAAAAAATAAAACCAAATATTTTTAAATCGAATCAAATATTTACGACATTTCCTCATGACCATGCCTTAAGCATGGTGGAACTGATGTGGTGAATCAAAGCAAGTCACCACTACTGCTTCACTGTGTAGAAACGGACTCCCCGAGTAGCTCGGTGGCGTAGTGGATAAGCGCCGCGGCCCGCGATCGTAGTCGTTAAGCAACTTTCGCAAGGGTCGGTCACGGGATGGGTGACCAAAAAATTATTATCTCGAGCTACTCCGTGCTTCGGAAGGCACGTTAAGCCGTTGGTCCCGGCTGCATTTGCAGTCGTCAATACCCTCCAATCCGCATTGGGCCAGCGTGGAGGGTCATGGCCCAACCTCCTTAACCATCCATAAGGAAGGCCTGAGCCCCTGCAGTGGGGACGTAAAAGGGCTGGTGATGTGATGAAATATTTACCCGGGCGTTTATAGGGTTATGCTGGCAAAGAGTCGATTCTCTATAAACGAAATACATTTTGTGTTCATAAGTGTAAGAAGAATTGGAGTTTTTTTTTTTTATTTGGAGTGAACCTAAGAACAAAAATATGATGTATTTAACAGGTGAACCTGAATGAATATAGATTTTAACAATTTGCGTAATGAATAAGCTCCTACATATTTTACATTTTTAATTCCATAATTTATTCTACCAGTAAGATAAAATAAGTAATATTCTTACCTCAAATTAAAATCGCGTCCCCTTTTTTTCTATTATTAATGTTTAATAATATGAGAATACTTTAAAAGATAATATAATTGATTATTCTTGTACATACTTACTTTTAATCCGGACACACTTAATAATTGTAAGTACTTAATAGTTTGTATATGAACTATTTCAAGTATTACCTAATAATATTTTTCTGCATTTAATAAATAAACAATCATTGGAAATACTTTTTTTTTACTTTTCCCACACACTGAAAACTCTAAATATGATAACGTTAAAAACAATTTTCATACAAAGTTTGAAGTTCAAACTCTGATTAATTTAGTTTTAGTTTGAATTTTTACTAAACAGGAAAGAGGATTATAAAATCTGTACATACGGATAAGAAATACAGTCTGCTATTTTTTTTTTCTATCATAAAACATAAAATTAAACATTTAATTTATAAAAAGTTTGCTGAATGTGTCTTTCACGACCTTTAAAAGTTAAGCAGCCTCTAGTAACTATTAAATTATATTTCATATGGTTAGTACCCTGTATCTTTGCAACGTTTGTAAATAAATACATTTACTGACATAAGATTTCAGGATCGATATTGATACTACTACTAAATAAAAATAAAATATTTGACTCTTTGTTCAAATTGAATAGACTCCAAAAATATTGAACCTACTTATATGAAAAAAAAAATCATCTACATGAAGTACATAGATGACGCCAGCATCTCAGCATCTCAGCAATTAAGGGTTTTCTTTTGTTTGATACCTCTTAACGGAAAGACGACATATTCAATGTCATTTGGTACTGAGATAGGTTTAAAAATATATAATGATTTAATGTCTTGGGAAAAGTATTCGAAATTCTACGCTGACAAAACATTGCGAACTATAGATTTTTAAACAAAGTAGCATACTACTGACGCCACCTCGTGTTGAGTAGCAAAACTAAGTTGTAAAGCTTTTGAGTTTATTTTTCACTGGAAAGCTGTAGTCCTTTCTAGGAAAGGACATCTAAGTAGAACAACGTAGATCCAATATTGATTACAAAAGACAAGTAATTACACGTTGAAAACTAATTTATACAAACTTGAAGTCGTTTAGCTTGTTTACATTCGTTGATGGAGTGGATGACATTAGCGGGCTCAGATAAAGCTGTGTCATAAAAATACATAATCTATAAAGTGATTTTAAATAAATATAAACATTCAGAAAAATGTTATATCTAGTAAGAATATTTATTGGGACACGACACGTCACTTACTTTATATTTAAATGTCATTGGCGGCGCTAGTATTATAATTTAATGATTTGACAAAAATCTTGATTAAAGAACAAAGTCACATCTAGAAAACTTTGTTTTAAGGCCTTATTATATTGACAATTAAACTACCCTTATTATTTTATAATTATCGTAAAATTTATAAAAATAATGATTATTTGGAAGTGTCTATGTATACCTACTTACATGTCTTCATTATGATGCATGCAAACTATAGTTATTTATTACATACTCTTTACGAAACAGGTAATTGTTCCACGATTGTTTACTAACAAATAGTCTAAGAGATCATGACAAAAATATGTAAGAGCTTTCCAAAGCTTCATATTTCAGAATGTTGAAGTACTATGATGTCTTCCACTAGGTGTTCAGCACCTCCGCCTTCACACTGGGTACCGAGTTATGTATATATCAAGCATTAGAAAGCTCTTGCACCAACCACCTATCCTATCCCACAAGGATCCACATTAGGTTCTTTACTCTTCTTAATATAAGTTAACAGCATATTTCAACTCGACCTAATTGGTGAAATAACCCTACATGCAGATGATACCCGTTTATTTTACTTTGGATCTGACATAGACGTAGTGATTGATACCTAAACTATGTATGTTTTTCATGATATGACATTGTCCACGTCAAAATGTAATAATTATATTAGATTAAGTTCTCTCTATAAGTGACATGTATGTCTTTTGAGAATAAATTCTATAAACTGATACATATTTGTTACTTCATAAATCACAATATAAAATAAAAAGGATCAATGACCGCATCACCAAAACCGCGCCATTTTCACGTGCGAAGAGATCCCCGATACGGTTACCTTGGTAACGGGCCGCAAACAACATCACAAGTCAACCAAAGAGAATTTGACTATATAAATCTATAAGATATAAATCTTTATATCTTATAGATATAAATCTTTGTAGAAGAATAGTTTTAATGTTTTTTAGCTTAATTAAAAAGTTATTGTTCTTGCTAAAATACATGTTAAGTGTTATTTCTTGAATTCAAATATTTAAATTTATAGACTTGGTAAAATAAAAATAACTATTATCTACATGAAAGCAAACTTCATATTAATGTTAAATATATATTCAAAATTAACATTAAAATAGCGCGATAAATGCTTATAAATACACTACATGCTTATTTCGCGGAAGTTAACTTGCTTATTGTATAAAGCCAATCTGTTATCAGGGCATATTTTTTTCCTATAATATCGTTAATAGCCTATTAATATTCCCACTACTGGGCACAGGCTTTCCCTACGAATGGAATCGAACCGAATATTGAGAATGGGCCATGCAGCCCAGTGCTGATTAATAGGTGTTAACGACTACAGATGCAGCCGGCCCATGGCTTAACATGTCATTAACTCTATAATTAATTATATTGTATAATATATAGCAACATATTGGGCACAGTGTTATTTGCAATGTGGAAGAAATAGGTACTATTTCCCATCACCTTTTTTCCCAGGAGCATTACGCACAGAGTGTGGGCTTCACTATTTGCATAGACACACCCCAAAGGGATAGTCAAAGGGCGGATGGCATACCCACTAAAACTCTGGAAGCGACCATGCCGGGATTGACGGTGTAGGCTCCTTGTTGGGAATTCACCACGTCGCCCTACGCGGCTCGGCTTTCGTCGGAACTCCCTCGTTAAGTTGAACTGCACGTACATTTCCAACCAACTTTCGACGGATTATAAACAAAGGAATCAGGAATTGCTGTCTACTTAGACAGCGATTCCTGATTCCTTTGTTCACAAATCAATCACTTGATTGCTATTGTCTACTAAAAAATACTGTCAAAACAGTATTTTCGAACAGCTTCCGTCAAAGATTAGATTA